TCGTGAGGGGAAGGGCGGCGGGTGGCGAGTGGCGAGGGACGCGCTGGGGGCTGGCCTCCGCGTTGCCGTCGTGGGACGTCGCTGCGCGAACCCTCCGTTCCACAACCGATCGCCGGGGCGGGTGGGTTGCTTCTTCACAGCGGATTGTCTGCCGCGCACGGCGGAAGGGGGTTTCCTGTCACGGTTTTGTCCGTTCTCTCTCCCGGTTTAGAGACTTGGCGCTTTTAAGCCTAAATGCCTTTATTTTTAAGCCAAAACTGATTTTTTTTTTTGGTTCTGCCGCGCTTCCAGTAAAGAGGAACAGGGTAGCACTCCTACCCACCAAAAATACATTTCCTTATAATATTTCTGAAACGTGCTTCTGAATTCTCACTGATGGGCCGTAACACTACCACCGTATCTGGGGGCGGGAAGAGAATTTTGCGGAACTTGCTGAAAAGTTACGTAAGACATAGCAGTGATTACACTCTTTGAATTCCTTTGCATACAAAGTGTATTTACACTGACTTCCAGAAAGGCAAACTTTCATAACAATTCTCTGTAAGTGCTGCATGAAAAATAAAGGAAATGTGGGGTTTAGTGACCCATCTGTGCGTCTCGAGTAAGGAAATGCCAATAGTGTCTATTTCTAGGAAACGGTAGCTGTCAGCTGTGGTACCGGTGGGTGCTGGCAGAGCCCGATGTTTTGGGTTGCTGTGCGGCGTGAGCGTGGTCCTGGTGACCATTTCCTTGGGCATGGGAGAGTCAAATTTCTGAAAAGGTCTAGCCAGTTCTCCTAGCATCCTATTTAAGAAGAGTAGAAAAAGAGACAAAAGTCAGTACATACTGCATGCGTACAGGACAACACATGGGTGTCTCAGGGGCACCGGTGGCTCTTCTCCTTCAGGTTGAAATGTCAGAGCAAGGGACAGCCTTCCAGGTAAGTAGGCAGAGGAGCTGCAGTTAAATACAGAAGGCATAACTGTACCCTTGGGTACACAAGAGTTAATACCAGAACAAGGGAGCAGTGCTGGGTAAGCTACGGCACCTAATAGCAGCCAAGCATACTTGTACGGTAGGGGTATTTGAGATGCAAGATGCCAATACCATTTTAGTGAGGTCAGCCATTTCCTAACCGTTTCCTGTGTGCTGGCCCTCTTAATATATAGATTAATCTCAGAGCTGCAGGCTGGCTGGCCTAGACTTCACTGAAATTGTTGCCGTCATGGTGATAGCCCCGTCTCACAACAATGCTGTCTGAGGCTGCCGGCAAGGATTAGGTTTAATGCTGAACTCCCTGCAGGTGTGACAGAGAGCCTGAACAACACGCAGAACTGTGCGTGTACACGTGGCAGTCCAGGTGTCCTGCAGCGGGCAGGCGCGACAGCAGTAGTACCTCGTGGTGGAATGGGAAGAGTGAAGAGAAGTGTCTTAGCCCTTGTGTGTTTGAAGGTGGTCTTGCCAGGACAGGTGGAGGTAAAGCCCTGGAGAGGGAGAGGAGAGAGCATCGCAGCTGAGGTGGGAAAAGCAGCTGCTAAGGTACAAAAAGGTGTTGCCAGACTCGGACAACCAAAATAAATTATGAAAGGTGACAAAAACAAAGAACTTGTGACTACTTTGGATATGTGACTGCTTTAAATTTTACTCGGGCTTCTGAAATACGCGGTAGTCTCCAGGTTACCGAGATTCCCTGGTTATCTGACCAACAGTTCAGTGAGGTTGCGCGAGAGTAGTTGCATATCACTGCTTAGTTTTGCCGTCTGTCTGTGACAGAACAGACTCTTTGTCTCGATTGCTGACTTCTTGCCCACTATCCTGATTTATTCTATTGGCAGGAACGCGTGGCGCCAGTAGGCTGGCTCAAGACAAGTTTCTAACAAAAATCTTTGGCTAAAAGGAGAGTCACGCGGTGTCGGCAGTCTGTATACCTATTGTCTGGCTTGTGCTGGAGCTACTGGTGTCGGGGGTGTCACAGTCCCACCGGCACCGATGATACCAGCGGTAGGTGAGAGGTGGCATCCTTTGGAAAAACGCGTTTCATGAAGCAGCAAGGCGAGCTGGGAGCAGAGGGTGACAGCAAGGCAGGTGTGGCGGTGGCTTCACTACCGAGCAGGAGCAGCCCCACAGCACCCAAACAAGAAGAGCAAAGCAGGTCTGGTGGTGGTTACGAGTTTCAGCTAAGAGTACAGACAGCCGGTGACGATCCAAGTGACCATAGTGACAAGGAGGTCTGAGGTCAGGCCAGAAAGCCAAGTCAGCGAGTCAGGGTCAGAATCGGGTTCAGTGAAAATAACCAGGGCCAGCCAGCCACCGGTCCAGTCATCATCAGAGAAGCCCCCAGTGACGGGAAGGATCTGAGTTCAGCCCAGGTGGGTCAGGGTCTGGACCAGCGGGTACGTGGCCGGGCACAGGGTTATCTGTAACATAGCTCAGGCAAGGACCGAGGGAGAGTGCTTCAGTGTGAGCACAGCTCCTGAGCAAAAGTAAGCAGCTCTTGCTTCTTCCAGCCCTTTCTCATGCAGCAGTTTGATCCAAGGCCACTCGGCTGCACCATGGCAGAGCTGCCTTCAAGCACAGGGAGCTGAATGCTGACAAAGGCCCCAAGAAAAGGGCTAATGAAGAACTTCGGCCCAGCTAAGGGACGTACGTATGTGACTGACTCAGTATATGTGGCTTAGTAAGTATTCGTACGCCAGAGTTTGTAAACCATCATCATTTATGAACGATTGGAAGCATGGCCAGGCATACTCTGTTTACACCATTAAATGCTGTAAAGAAGTCAGAAATGAGGGAATCACGTGGATCCTTGATTCATACGGGTGTGTTTTCCTCCTCTTTTGACACGATGCTTCTGCGATCTTTGCAGACAAAATCCTTTGGATTTTCTTTTTTCTTTCTGCGATTCCTTACGACATGACTCTCTTCAGACACAGCAGAGAATCCCAGGCTCATGCTGGTTGCCTTGTATTGCACGGTCAACTTTCTCACAATCATGAAAGATCTCAGAACCAAGAAAAGAGTCCGAAGCTGGAAGATGGGCCATGCTAAGGCAGTCCCTGGATGAATACTCCAAAATGCCTGTGTTTCTAGTGACCTACCAGGACCGACAGGCCTTCAGAGTGTAAACCGGTTAGCAGTGCCTCACTCTGGAACACTTAATGCTCCAGATGTTGTCAGCATTGGTGTGTAGCCTCACTGCCCAAAATAAATCTGCCCATAACAAATTACAGCCACAGCCCCGCTCTGTTCTGGCTGCAGTCGCTACAGTGGTATGCTTGGCTGGGACTTAATCGACTCTGTAGGCAAAGGCACCTCATTCGGTTCCTTCACATAGGTAGGGCACCTGGTCTTGTATCTGGGGAGAAAGACTTGGAAGGGAAAGCTCATGTCAGGTCTTCACTGGGAAGGTGGTCAGATGCTCGCACATACTTCCAGGCATACATGCAAGAAGTATCTGATCAGTTCTTACAGAGCGATTAATGACATTTCTGAGATAGTGATTGCAAGTGATGTGAATTTTTAATGGACAACAGTAAGATGCAAATTTCAAATAAAAATATAGAGAGGGAAAGCCAAGAGCTGCAGCTTTTTCCCCTTTGAATGCTGGAACACATGCTGGAGGGCTAAACAGTTCCCTCTATAGTATTTCAGGGGTATTATGTTGCAGCAAAAGTTGTACAGCATCCAGGTTGGAGGTCCTTTCAGTTTTCCTACATCATTTACCTCCCGTCTTCTTATTTATATTTTGGAAGCCTGACCAGTTGTGGTCCAAGTACATCCAAGAATCCCAAGTCCAGAATAAAATTAAATGTGACAGCAGGCTCGCTATTGGAGTCACTATTATTAGAGCCTGAGGGAGTTTTGGTCTCAGCTGAAGGAGTAACTTCAGACACTGAGGAAAGCTCCTGATGTCTACAGCTGGCTGAAGTCCAGAGCTGTAAGGTGATGCAAAAGCAGCCTATACTCTTTTCTCTAATATCGGCAGCCCTGTGTGTATGGACATGCAGAGGACGTTTTGAAGGGAAAAGAAAGCAATCAGGAAAGAAGTTCAATTACGTATGGTGAGTGGATGGATTTAGCAAGCCTGCCTGCTGAAACAGAGGCATGACTGTGCAAATCAGCTAAGTGGTTAATGGTCAGAGATAGCATCCTCTTACAGCCCTGGTGGTGTTTATATTATATGTACAGTGCTAGAGGCATACATTGCAGTCTGCACATAAAAAGAAAGATGGCTCGTGCTCTTCCAAATTTACAATCCTCTTTAAATTAACAATTTCTGCAGCACAGTATATGTGGACTTTATTTTATGCATCTGAGGACATCCTCAGTCACACACTGCCCTGACTTTCCATGGCAGGGGGGTTCAGCTGCATTCATACTCCAGAAATTTTTGCTGATTTTATCCATATTATGCTGATACTTA